CTTTCCTGGAGCAAATTGTCTATCACAGTCTATAACATATAATGGTGTACACATATACACCATACATGTGATCAGCAGCATGGGGATATTTGGTAGTGGTACAACCAGATGAGTGGGAGTTCTTTGTTTCTTAAGTCCTGTTAGTTTTGTCGTATCACCTAACATTTTGGATTTAGCATCCACTTATCAGGGAGACTATGTACCGTTTGTCTCTTTGCTCTTGGCTTACCTCATTCAACATGATTCCTTCTAGCTCCATCCATTTCCCTGCAAATGCCATTATTTTGTCATTTCTAATGGCTGCATAATATTCCATTGTGTATTGATACCACAATTTTTGGATCCATTCATCTATGGTGGGGCATCTAGGTTGTTTCCATATCCTAGCTATTGTGAACAGTGCTGCAATAAACATGGAGGTGCACGTATCCTTGTATATATATATTCTTTTTATTATTGACATAACATAAAAATTTACCCTTCACTGTACGAAAGGAAATGTACTCATTACCTGATTCATGTAATTGTAATCCCTCTGTACATCACCTCTATAATAACAATGAAGTAAATTAATAATAAAAAATTTACCCTTATAACTGAAATTGGATCTTTGTCCTTAACCTCATGTGAAGAAATGTAATTATTTGTAATAGTAAGCCTTAAATATTCCCCTGTACAAGCTGGGCGCTGGTGGCTCACACCTGTAATCCTAGCTACTCAGGAGGCTGAGATCTGAGGATTGTGGTTCAAAACCAGCAGGGGCAGGAGTGACCGTGAGACTCCTATCTCCAATAAACCACCAGAAAACCGGAAGTGGCACTGTAGCTCAAGTGGTAGAGCGCTCGCCTTGAGCTGAAGAGCTGAGGGACAGCACTCAGGCCCAGAGTTCAAGCCCCACGACCGACCAAAAAAAAAAAATTCCCCTGTACAAACTTGAAAGCTAAAATGATCTGGTAATACAGTTAGCAAGAAGACTCAAGAACAAATGTGTCATTCATCTTGACATTTGTTTTTTGTTATTATTCCTGGTGCAGATGGTCAGGTTTTCTCTTTTTTGAATACACTGAATCTGTGATTAACAGACTCCTTAGATAAACACAAGCTTCATATACACAGATCATTATGGACCTTTCCAAGGTAACCAGGAAATAGATAAAGAAGGCAGGAATGGGCCACAGCAAGATATATCCTTCTAAAATACACCCCAGAGACCTACTTCCTCCAACCAGACCTCATCTCCTAACAGCCCTATTCAGTAAGACTGATTAATAGTTAGCATTCATCTCTCAATCACACCACTGGTGGGACCAAGCCTTAACACATGAGCCTTTTGGGGGAACACTTCATATCCAAATCTGAATAACACCCTCAGAATAGCAGGCCAAATGAAATCATTGTCTAATAAATTAAGAAAAGTATAATAATTATTAATATATACCTGACAGAACTAAAATAATGTAGCAGACATCTATATTATAAACATTTAGAAAGTCTAATTAGCTTACTTGGTTTTATTTTACTTCTTTGTTCAGTTAAGAAACACCTGGAGGACTGGGAAGGTGGCTCAGTGGTAGAGTGCTTGCCTCACATGCATGAGGCCCTGGATTTGATTCCTCAGCCACATAAGCAGAAAAAGCTGGAAGTGGCGCCATGGCTCAAGTGGTAGAGTGCTAACCTTGAGCTGAAGAGCTGAGGGACAGCACCCAGGCCCCAGAGTTTAAGCCCCATGACTGACAAAAGAAAAACAAAATCTGGAAAGTGCATGACACATTATAGATGCTCAGAAGTATTTGTCCAATAGATGATTGCTATGTGACCAATATTGCTTAAGTCCAGAAAACAGTTGAGATCTAGTATGGAAAAACCATCAGAGACTGACAAAGGACAATAACTTCCCTGAGAACAACTGATCCAGACTAATGTTTTCCTTTCTTAGCCTAAGAAGTACAGTCCATGAAAATAAGTTCGGATTTCTTTTCTTCTTCTTTTGGTTGTGGGGCTTTCACTCTGGGCCTGGATGCTGGCCTGGATGCTTTCCCTGAGCTCTTCAGCTTAAGGCGAGACTCTACCACTTAAGCCACAGCACCACTTCTGTTTTTTTGGTGGTTTATTGGAGATAAGAGTCTCACTGAGGCTAGGAAGGTGGCTCAGAAGTAGGGTGCTTGCCTTTCAGGCATGAGGCCCTGGGTTCAATTCCTCAGTACCATATAAGCAGAAAAAGCTGGAAGTGGTGCTGTGGCTCAAGTGGAAAAGCTCTAGCCTTGAGCTGAAGAGCTGAGGGACAGCGCCCAGGCCCAGAGTTCAGGTGTCATGAATTACAAAAAAAGAGTCTCATTGACTTTCCTGCTGGGGCTGGCTTTGAACTGTGATCCTCAGATCTCAGCCTTGTAAGTAGCTAGGATTACAGGCATGAGCCACCGGCACCCATCTTCTTTTCTTCTTTTAGGGTAGGGTAGAAATAGTTGAAGCACTTCTCTGCTTACCTAGAGTATTAGGCTCAGAGCAGCTCTCAATTCCAATCATAACTGCAGAACCTACAATGGGAAAGGCTAGAAGGAATCAGGGAAGATTAGTGCAAGAGTCAAAATGTCACCACCACAGGGCTAGGAATGTGGCTTAGTGGTAGAATGCTTGCTTAGCATTCATGAAGCCCTGGGTTCCATTCCTCAGTACCATATAAACAGAAAAAGCAAAAAGTGGCACTGGGGCTTAAGTGGTAGAGTGCTAGCCTTGAGTAAAAGCAGCTCAGTGACAGTGCCCAGGCCCTAAGTTTAAGCCCCAGGACTGGCAGAAAAAAAAAAAAATTGTCACCACCTCTGGAGAACCACCAAGCCTACTGCCCCAGCGAATGCATTTCAACAGCACATTTTCCACTTGGAGGCCATTGCTACTGCTTCCTTTGATCTGCTTGACTGTTAGATCATGAGGAGAGTGAACAAGGTGACAGAGCACACAAAGCCAGTTTTCTCTGGATAATTCATCCTAGGCAGCCAGCCAAGAAAAACATATATTCAAGAAATATCACATAACTGGAACTTGCAACCATTTTGGCTCAACAGCTTGCTTTTTTTGCAGGCAGGGTGAAGAAGTGAGAGGTGGGTGTGGACTCAGTCTACAAATGTCTAAGCCTGCAGTTCTGCCTATCAGGGCAGAAAAGCTATATGAAGCCAGCCAGTGCTGAGCACCAACAAGCAAAGCAAAGAAGAAAATACATGAAGACTCAGAGTCCCTTCCCATAAGCCAGTCTAAGCTGCAAAAAGGAGTAATGCCAAGCACAGAAAAAAATAACAACCAAAATATATCCTGCCCCCTTATTTGAAATTTCAAAATAAATTAACATTTCAAATATACAAAAGCATGGTAATTTGAGAATGTTCTTCCAAATCTCTACCTCTTACATTGTGGAGAATCACTTTAGAGGACTAGTTAAGGCTTTATTAGAAACTGAACATGGGCTGGGTGCAGGTGGCTCACG